CCCCAAAACCCCAAAACCCCAAAACCCCAAAACCCCTTAAAAATACTAAAACATATAGAATTCATGGTAAATAGTTAATAATTTACCATTAAGTTATTAAGAATATTCAGTATATTACAACTATATGTTCACAGTATGCATAGTTAATATATGCATTCCAATATCATCACTATAATTAATTGAATCCCTTGAATATAACTTCAAGATTCAGTAATTATCTTCCATCTTTGACATTTAATTGAAATCAAGGACAGATTTTTCCCTCAGAGTAAAGAGCTTGTAGTTCTTTTGGTTTTTAACATTTTTATCGTAGAGCTCATCCTCATCTGAGTCAACTTCTGCTGCTCCTCCTACATTACTGTATTTAGATCTAACTCTCTACATTTTTCTATCACGTTTCAGCTAGGCTTCACAGTTGTCCATAAAAGGATAGGGTTCATCTCTATAGCTATCAAGACTGTCTAAGCTCCTATCCTCATCTGTTTATGTAATAGTCTTTACATTATTTAGAGACTGATCCGATTTTATTTTCAATAGATTGCCTCTTGATACCTTATGTAACTTATTAGTTAATTCCAACTGCTTCTGATTGCTTTCATAATATCCTATCATATGATTAGCATATCCACTTCTACCGCTTGTATTTGCTTGAGGTGCTTGCTAAGCTTGATTTGAGATAATCTAAAGCTGAGCTGCCTTTTTCTTCATATCAGAGAGTCTCACCAATTTCTAATTTGAATAGGTCTTGGAGCTCTCATTCGACCAAATTTTGAAAATAGCAAATATGTTGGAAACGAGTCCACAAACCGTGTAGAAAATGGGGTGCATGTACTTTTTGATTGGCAGCTTTAGTCTGTAACTAAGCATGAGAATACGAAGAGTATTTTAAATAACGGTTGCAAAGCATATCCTACGTTTTTACCTTTATTTGATAAGGTCTTTTACTAGCTTAGTGGTTCTTTGGTCAAGACCTACTACCTAATTCTCAAGTTTTGACAATTCCTCATTGATTCTATTTTCTTCCTAAACCGCATAGTACCAAATAATTATAGATTTGATAACTTCAGACCAGTTCTTAGCTAATGTAAAGATATCCTTCAGTCTTTTCCACTTCATCTTGTTGAATGCTGTTTTGCTAACAAATTCATTAGAACTAAGATATTTATTAATACCTGATCATGCCCATATTTGAGAACCAAACAACGTTATCTAGTAAGTAATAGAAAAAACCACAGACTCTTGCGAATAGTGACATGATTCGCACAAGCTACCCATTTTTGGCTCCTTTTTTGCCAAACAGATCCACTACATTCTTGATCTCATCCACGAACTTAAGAAATTTAAAGACTTTTCGACCACTTGAGATTTAATCTACAACTCGACGACCGATTAAAACACTGCTGATTTCGTTAAGTCTAAAATAAAATAGATTAGCATATTTTTTTAAGTAAATCATTTAAATCAATAGATGAAATGCTTGGATTTAGCAAGAAATGCAGTACTACTTACTCCACAAGATCATGATATTCCTAAGAGTATTTCATGCAATTAACATAGAGCTAGACTATGTATTGGATAAGAGCACAAATTTTGTCTCTTCCTCTACTGCTGCTCATCACATTAGATAGCTACATTACTTCATACGCCATCACATTACCAAGGTTCTTCATCATTACTGGAGTCTGTTTGACTGCTAGATTGATTCCAGAGATAGAATGCTTCATTATAAGATTGTTTTTGCTAAACTTGAGAACCTCATTGATAGTAAATGCTCTCTTGAGGCTGTGATGCTGCTCTTTTGAATTATTATCTGATTAAGTCTCTTGTTTAGAAGTTTGCTTCATGCTTAAGTCAGATCGTTTAATATATAAAATTAATAAGATTTAAATTGTACTGCGCTCCTGCATTTGATTCAGCTAGCCGGGGTTTTGGGGTTTTGGGGTTTTGGGG